TGCTGCAAAGATATCGAACAATCAGACGTCAACAAAGAAATGGTGAGGCTGCCTTGTACGAAGTAATTGGTGTGCTTAATAATAATAGAATAATAATAAAAGTAAAATAAAGAAAATGCTGCAAAGATATCGAACAATCAGACGTCAACAAAGAAATGGTGAGGCTGCCTTGTACGAAGTAATTGGTGTGCTTAATAATAATAGAATAATAATAAAAGTAAAATAAAGAAAATGCTGCAAAGATATCGAACAATCAGACGTCAACAAAGAAATGGTGAGGCTGCCTTGTACGAAGTAATTGGTGTGCTTCAAAATGAAATTCAGAGGTAAAAATAATAATATAATAATAATAATAATAATAAAATAGTAATAATAATAATTATATAGGTTGCAGCGTGAAGTTAGAACATTGAGAGCACAGGTAGTTGAGTTGAGAGGAAATGCAGTTTTTATGGCGAGAGAAGTAGTTCGGTTGATGAGAGAAGTAAATGATAGAGATTTGCAAATTTTGGAGATTAATCAGGAGAATCAACAGAGGAATAAAGATTATATATTGTTGGTAAGAGATAGGAATGATTTAAGGGCTGAGGTAGAGACTTTACATGATTTGATCAATGATATTTCAGTTCCAATATAATAATAATTTCTTTTTTTTGTAAATAAAATTTTAATTGTTTAATCTAAATAAATTTTTGTGTCCAAATTGATTTGTTATCTTTTCTCTTGTTTTCATTATTTTCTAAGAATTGTGCTTGCTATGCTCTTGAGTTATTTGTAAAGATTTTCAACCTATATACTAGGACACTGACAACCTAGTTTGAATTTTCTTTAACATCAGATTTAAAAGGATATAAAGAGCTTTTCACTATTTTGAATGCATAATTTTCTTAAACAATATCTTGAAAGTCATTTGACCCAATTGATTGTTGTAAGAATAAGTATAGTAATATGAAGAGATATATTCTATTCAAATAGTTCAAATTTCTTGCACAGTACTTATTAAACCCACAAGTACTAGAATATATACATGTCTTACAGATTTTTCTAATAAAATATTAGAATTAGTAGAATAGATAACACATCTTAATTTTTTAACAAAATTGTTCCTCCAGGATCAAATATACATCTTGTTGAAAGTTGCAAAAGTAGGCATCTGAAGGTTCTACATACTTTGGTCTTAATTATGATAGTTCTTCTAACCAGTATCTCTAACCACAGCTTCTTATTATTTTTAGATTCTAATATAATTACTCTTGTTTCAGCTATGGTACTGTTCATTTCACTTGAATTTTGAGGCTCTTTTGCAGGTTCTAATCTCTATTCAATAGCCTTTTTCTCATCTTTTGAGTTGCTTATACTACTTTGATAATACTTTTCATGATTATCTTGTCTGTTCGAATTAATATCTTTAGCAGAATTCTGAGACTATCCTAACATTTTGTGCTTACTCCTTTTACTTGGTTCAAATTCATTAATAAATTTTTTGACTTTCTTCTTCTAGGAATTACACATGGTGTCCAAGGGTACTTTAATATCAATAAGTATTTGTATCTTGACTTTATTTTCTTTTAATGTCTTCTTCACTTTGTTAATGAATTCTTCTGCTTTTTCTATGATGTTAGCACATCTTTCTTCCTTGATTATTTTGTCTTGATCGATATTATTTTTGGTGACTTCATCTTTACTGAAATAATATTTATTCATTTCAAGTCCAATCTCATTTTTATTGCAAGGCTTAATTTCTTCATTAGCTTCTTGCTCTGAAAGCTTATTCTTCATATCATCAAGCTTGTCATTATTCTTATCATCAACTTTATTGGTTCCATCTTCTATATCATTATCATATTTAAACTCTTTTATTCAGTTTAAACAAAGATCATCGTTTTTTTTTTTATAGATACATCTCTGAATAATGGCCTTATACTGATCAATTGGCTTTTGGAGAAGAGGTTCCAGATATAAGTTTTCTTTCTCAAAATCAAGCTCTATATTTTTAGAAAACCTTTTTACAGATTCATCAAAAATATAATAAGAATTAAAATTCTTTGAGGTAAGCTCTTTCTTCTTTTGAGGCAATGGCAAAAGATCTTCTAGATTTAAAACTTCTAAAGATACAAGAGGTGGCTTTTCTTTTTTGTAATTAGAGTCACTTGAATATAGGGAGGTAAGTATACAACTGTTATATCTTCATCACTAGTTTTCATCAGCTTTCCCTATCTATTAAATCCTCTAATATCTCAAGTACTACTTCTAGAGCCTGAGGAAGTTGCTCATTATTGATGTAATTATCTTCAGAGGCTTCATTAATGAGTTGTTGAAATTCAGCAGTTTGTTTATCAGTAAGAGTTTTAGTTAGAGCAACACATTTTCTATCTAATTCTTCTACTTTAGGGCATTTACTAATAATATGTCCTGTTATATTACAATAAGTACACCAGTATATTGTTTTATAATTCCATGATTTTTCTTAGACTTGTTGTGATAAGGTCTTTTTTCTTTGATATTAAGTGCTTTTCTTCAAAGGTTGACATGGTCTGGCTTGCCTAATAGTAGGTGTTTGATTTTGATCATAAAAATTCATTTTGATATAGTGTTTGAATAGTTAAAAATTAAGAATAAAAATTTTCATCTAGGTTTCCAACGCTTATTGCAGTTCTGGGTCACGTTTTCTGACTAAGATATGCTTAGTAGAAAGGTTGCGCAAGGGCTTCAAGATGTTATGTTTAAAATTTCAGCTCAAACAGAGGAAATTTATTGACTTTACATAGTACCAAACGTTTCTAAATATTCCTTTTCTTTGCAGATCTTTAAAGAAGAAAAATACTGTCAACACGTTTTACAGATTCTAGTAGCGTTTTCGTCTTATGATAAGCTTAGAACAAAAGTTGTGAAAGGTTTCAGCAGATGTACCCTGAATATTTCAGCTCAAACGGAGCAAAATTGATCAACTTCAATTAGTACCAATCATTTTATGACTTGGACGTTTCTTCACAAAATTTTTCAGGTAGAGTCTGTATCTCACAGTCACCACCAATTTGTTATTCTATATCCACTTTTTTAAAGATAATAGGTAACTAGAGTGACTGTAGCTATTGAATACTTTGTGTAACCCAAACTAGTTACTGTATTTTGG